ATGTTTTATACTATTATAATCCCGCATCAATTTCGTCCAGTTAACTGACGTTTCTGCCACTTTTAGGATTGTGGGATGTTTTATTGCTAACATTATTTTGTTTAGTTTCTTGTAAATAATTTTGTTCCATATTGTACATACTCATTGGGGATTTTTTATATTGTTGTTTTATTCCCCTTCCTCCCACAGACAATGAATTGTACATATGGGGACTATTTAGGATTTTCATAGAGACAATGAGTGGATGGATGTAGTAAGATCGTCAGGCCAATTACGAACGGGCCTGCACTGATTCCCGTGGCATCACATGTAATTTGTCCATGTGTAACCTCTTTTTCTGCAATTCCAACATTTTCTCTGACAAGTTTGTTGGTTTCTCCTTCTGTAGTAGTCCTATATCTGTGCCTGTTATCCTACTCTCTTCCTCTACCACATGCGCCATTGACTCTTCTTCGTATTCTAGTGTGACATACATACAGCACATCGGCTCGGGTCGATATCAGGTGAGTCCTTTATTCAAATTCTCCATTCATTCTCTGAGAGCTTCGTCTGATATGCAGTCTCTGTCGTCAGTGGTTCGTCATTTAGAACCGCTAAGCTTAATCTCTTAAGCCTTCTATAAAGAATTTTTTAACTTTCTCTCTAACTAATCGAATACGTTTTGCAATAATTTAATTATTCGTTATATATAGCTTTTTATCCCCTTATTCCTCTGTTTAATATCTGCCAAACAGAGGAAGAATTGGTGTCTATTATGTAAAATTCTTGAAGTACGTATTTATTTACTTTCCTCCTATGTTATATTTTACTAATCTTTTGTTATATTTTTGTATAAAGTCGCGGCTATGGTTGCTTGACATATTTATTTTTCAGCCTCCTTTATCCGGATACCATACAACAGTATGATATCTGGATAAAGGAGACTGTTTAAAAAAAATCAATCTTACATTGTGTATCCGTTTCTTCCATTTTTCTTACATTCTGCTTCTGTATGGATTGGTAGTCTAGGTCTCTTGTTTAATGGTGTAGTTGTCTAGTGGTACCTCTTATTTATTCTTGCGTCTGCGTGTGTATTTATCCACGTTGTGTTTGCGATAACTCAAATGTTCGTTTTCTGTCTTGTCTTATTTTTTGTTTTTTAAATAGGAATTTTTTTTTCTAATCCTTAACATTTAATCTCTTTTATACACATATTACATTCTTTTCTGTGATTTTTTTGCCATGTAATTTTTATATCAGCTATTTCATATACATTTCTCCTCATATTCCTGATCTTCAGGAAAATGAACATTTTTACATGTACGCTTTCTTTTTGGGGGTGTAAATTACTAAATCAATCATTTTGCCTTTATAACTGATATAAGAAAATATAACATTTTTGCAGCTATCATATGCGTTTTTTTAATATATTTTTGATGTCAAAGAAAGGAACATTTTTAAAACTACACTTTCATTTTTGGCAGTGATTTCTATGTCATGTTCTTTTTGTCTTTTTTCGTGATATAATTAAAATAGCATTTTTGAAGTTATCTTTTTGTAGTGATTTCTATATCATATGCATTTTTGTATATATATGATCTTCAAGAATATAATATTTTTAAATCCACTGATTTTTTTTCAGAGAATTCTATGCACATACGTTTTTACTCTATTAATGATCTTCAAGAAAATAATTTTTTTAAAGCTACACGTTATTGTGGTAGAGTATTCTATTGCATATACATTTTTATGTATATATGATTATAAAGAAAGGAACATTTTTAAATCTGCCATATCTTTTGTTGTTAGGTGATTTTTATGTCATTAATTTTGGTTAAATTAATGGATAGTATTTCTGAAACTATACTATTTTTGCTTTCCACGGTCCTGATATGTTTCTGTCCTATCGTCCGTTATATTCTAAATTTAGGATCTTCAAGAAAGGAACACTATTTAAGTACACTATCTTTTATTACTAGAGATTTTCATATAATTTTATTTACTTTACATTTATTATATTTATAAAAGCAACACTTCTCTACCATTTCTCTTTTTTACCAATTTTCCTCTGTTTTATTTATTCATCCATCAGCAGTTCTTTCTTGCGGTACTTTTTACTTTTGTGAGATTGCGCTTGTTCTGATTGATTTTGAAAGCCTTCAGTGACTTATCTATTTCATCCTTAAAATATGCTTTGGGTTTATGCTGTGATCTTTTAGGTCCCTTTATATGCAGTAATTGCTTTAATATGCGTTTATCATCATCTCAACTGATCCGTTCAACTTAGCCTCTTCTTATGGATAACTTTTTTAATGTCGGGGATGAAAACCAGTTCCAAAACGTCTGTGTCCGATATCTCTGGCATCAGATTAATTTTGGCATGTAAGCAGTATTGATAGGATATTTCCACGGCCCTGGTATGTTTCTGCCAAGTTACCCAGGTTTAACAAAGTAAAGAAAACGAGAGAGCACACATGCTCTATGAGCTAAAGTTTACAGACTATCTTTATTTGCCCAAATAAAACCTCCTAGATTCTTAAAAGTGTGAACAGCTTTTTGGATACGGATTATGATTTCATCATCCAAAGAACAAAAGCAATCAAAGTGCTTCCAAGGTACGGAAAATTGTCCACTACTTTCAGCTTAATATTGTCAAGGGAGATCTTTGACTCCTGATACGAATTAGTTGACGCTAGCTGATACATCACCACAGTTTTATGTAAGCTTATTTGAAACCTTTCTCCCAAATTGTAGCATTCCTTGTGCTTGACCATTAAGTGCTGCACGTCACTGTGTGGATGACCAAATGGCAGTATAAAGTATATCTCTTAATAAAGTAGTGAAAATCTTTGTTTTGTCAGAATATCACTAGAAGTTGAATAGTTTACCTGTTGTTCTATATTGCACATGAATTCGATGCGTGCGGTCCTTAAGTACATTTTCAAAGAAAACAGAGTGTATAGAAAGCAATGTTGTCCCAAGAATTGAGAATTTTCTTGTAGTTGGCTGGCAGTAAAGATCATATCCATTTTCCTCAGTTTAGCCAAAAACTACATTGACATTCCGATGGAATATTTAGAGATATAATTATGTTTAATCGTGAAAGAAGAATGCCAGTCAGAACTTTTACAGCAAAGGGTAGGAATGCAATCCCTCATGAATACCCACGAACTTCACATACTACAAAATCTTTGTCAATTGGAATTATAACAGAATCTCTCAATTCTTTCAAACATTTCCTGTATTATATATATCACATGCCAGTTGTGCATTTCCCTGGTTAAGTCTTCACCTCCTAAATCAAAACCTTCCAGTTAGGAGACCATCTATTTCAGGGGTTTTACCCAGATTAAATTTTTCCACTAATGTTTGTACTTCCTCAATGAAATTCGTATTATTCTTTACTGCTCGTTGTTCCACATTTATGACGCCATCAGTTGAATCTCGATTTAGCAAATCAGAAAAAAACGCCTTCTATAGCTTTGCAATGTCTTCCATAGACCTAAAAACATGCTCCTCATAAGCAGAGTTATTGAAGTAGCTTATGGTTCATAAACTCTTTTAATAAACCTGTAGAAGTCTAACTGTTCATCCCGAGACAACGTTCTTCACCTGTTATATTTTTTATTTTTATTGTCCTTTATACCTTTACTTTGATTTTCTTAATTTTTAAAAGCATTTTCAAGGTGACAAATCTATTTGAAAATTGCCTGTCTCATTTCAACATTAAGTTTAAGCTCCCGATTTATCCCAGCAACACTGTTCAGCTTTCTGAAACCCTAGAGTACCCAAAGAAACTTTATAACATATATATTCTTAAAAGTTTCTTTAAATATAAAAATAAAGCAATGTTTTGCTAGATTTCTCTTGTTAACAAACTAATTTTCATATCTTGGTTTTAAAGGTGTAAAAGATTATTGATATGGACTTTGATTTTTATCTAACTTCTTTCTTGAAAAAATAAAAATAAAAGCACGAAACCTTAACCAGAAATAATATTATTATCTCAGCAAATAAAACATCACAATAAGAATCTGCACATAAGATTTTAAATTTTGATGCAATGTGGAACATATCAAAATGAGAAAAATCAAACAAAAAATATCAAATAAATTTAACAACAAAATTGCTAAAGCTAATAATATTTATTTCCATGAATCAAAAGCATACCCAATTTATGCAGAAAAATCGCTGAATACCATATGATGCCATGGTATTTTGATATAACTGTTACCATGTCAATAAGTGTATCTGACACTGTTATATTTGCCAAAGTTCAAACTTTAAGGCAAATGCAGAAAACGATTGCTACGTAAAATCATAGTAACTTTCGATATTTATTTTTCTATATTGTTAACATCCAATAAACAAAGAGTAAACAAAGTCAGAAAGTTTAAATCTAATGTCATTAGTTCTAATTCATTTTGGTCATAAAGTTAATGATTTGATCAATAACGAATGTTTTATACTATGTCGCTGATGAAAATTTATATTTCATTTGTCGACATATTTTCCTTGTTTATTTATACATCTCTGTATGCATATACGAATACGTATGTAGACACGCAATAAATATATATATATATATATATATATATATATATATATATATATATATATATATATATATATAGATATATATATATATATGCCTGTGTATCTATACACGTAGTTGGATTTTTTTTCTAACAAAAAGAATATGGATATTTACTATTTCTTAAACCACAGAAAATTTATAATAGAAAATCTTAGATAAAAACAGAAAATTGTATCAATTATGAAAACTTGTTTGTCTAGCAATATTTATATCTTTTACAGTTGGTACCAGGAATGATGCAGATGTGATAAACAGCATCTGTTATGACATCGGTTTCTTTGTTTTTCTTTAGACTTTTTATTTTTGCGTCGGTTGTAGCTGGAGTTGAGTGTTTGTCAGTTTGATTGGAAAGCTGCTCAGTTGGGGTGATACTTGCTGCGTTACAGACCAACGCATGGTGTTGGTTTTATAGCAGGTGCCCAGCTTAGCCGCCCCAGATCTTGTTAACACATCTGCAATTTTGCATCCACAGGTTGCACTTACATACTAGGCTACTGGGATCGCAACATTTATTTTTGCTATTCGACCAAGGAGAACATGTCTGGCGCCACTTGGAACACGTATTCTGCTCATTCTGAGTCCTCCTAAAATGGAAGAACAATGCAAACAAATTAGTATAAATTATTAAAAGAGGATAAAAGCATCGAACATTTTCTAAAGATTTCTTTCACTGTGCACTCGGTTCTCGTTAAAGTTTCAATAATAAAAATAAATTTATTTTCATTTTTTTCCAACAATGTTCACTTAACTTCAATTTAGGATGCACTTCTTTTCAGACTTTTTAATTTTCACATGATTTTGATTACAAAAAGGACAATCATAATTTTGATTACAAAAAGGACAATCATAACTTTTTCTTCATTTTACCTATCTCTGTTTTTCAGTAAATGAAAGCTTAATTAACATTCATTGATATATGCGTTGTAAGAAGTTAAAAATGAAATGGATCAACTGGTTTTTATCTTTGAATTTTTGTCTCCTGATAAATACAAGTTGGTTGCTAAAGAAAATATCGGCGATCAATTGATACAAGAAATTTCTGTTTGGTCATTAGTTCAGATTTGAGGAATTGGTTGGGCCGTGAAATTTTCAGCAAAAAAAGAATTTTAAATGCTTCAAAGGACAACAAACATACTTTGTTAACAATCGGTCTAAAACCCGCAATGTCCTACTAGTATAAATGTCGGTTGCTTGGTAATCAACATGAATGGATTTTATTAGAATCAAATTGACTTCGAGAAGCGGAAATAGTTTTCTGCGAATTATAATTACTTTTGCAGTGACACTTTCAGTTGAAATATTCTTCAAATTTACTTCGTAAATGCTACCTTTGATAATTATTATGAATAGCTATTGTTTCATTACAAAAGGATGAAGGAGATAAATCGAATAATCATGAATTTTGAAAGACATGGGGAAATTGTCTGTTCACAATCCACTCGTTTCAGTTAGTTTTCTGTTAAATTTGGGTATATTTTACTTGCAATAAAGACTGAGTAATACGTAGGGCGGATTTAGTGGGTTGATTTGTTAATGGGTAAAATAAACCAGGAATATGTTCAATGGATGCTATGTTAAACCCCAAAACTTAGGCTTTAGTGGAATACCTATATTTGTGGTAGCCTACTCTATCCTTGATTCCACTGTATTCAGTGCAAGTGAGTGAGATTAGTTTTTGTTCATAACCTGTGAAAACTTTCTCTTTGTTCGCAAGGTCGGATACTTTAGTGCAATAACGAAGTTCAGTGAGATGTAACAGGTGTTTTTGATGGTAACAACTGCATTCACAGAACAGTTGGTTAAGAAATTGAAGTTTGAATAGTAGTTGTGAGTTTAGTTTCTTGACCAGGCGGTAAAATTAGTATACTCTGGTCCAGTGGAATGAGTAGAAGCGCCATCATAAATGCGAATTAACTAATACGAGTTATCTCCCTGAGCTGGACAGCGAAAGGAGTATCACCTAATCAAGTTAAAGAAGGATTCGAATTTCTCAGCGAACTCGGTTACCTGTCGAATGCAAGAACCTTAAGAAAGCCAGTAGTGGTATAATAGCAGAAATACTATGAATCTAACAACCAAAATAAGAATGCCAGTGAGAAAAGATCAGTATATAATATTTCGGATATTCTGAGAGAATTTAGGTAAACTATTTCAATATGAATGTGGTAAATAAAACGTATTTTCAAAAAAAAAAAATTTCTTTTCAATATTTTTGGAAGTGAAGAAATTGGTATTTATTATCTGCTCTATGTTTTCATAACATAAAATTAGAATTTACGTCCCAATTTTTCCTATAATCACTCTTTTGAAAAATATTAAGAATATTACCTTCGTAAACTTTGGTAGCGTGCAAGCGCTTCCAATCTGTGTCTCGCATAATCTGCAAGGAAAGATATGATTATTTGTATATATGTGAAAGATGAATAAAAAAAATGACTGTTGTTAAAATGTCACCCTAATTAAAAAAGAACATAATTCTTTACATCGAAAGTACTTCGAGGGAGTACTGATAAATAATTTACCGACTATAAACACACACGCCAAAAACATTATATTACACCTTTATTGAATCCATTCTTAATGAATCTAACGTATGCTTATCTAAAACAAATGATATTTACGTGAAACATGCGGACAACCACCAAATATAATGTCTACTGGACATTCAAACACACACACTTTCGAATATACATTATCATCTGAATCCTCTAGAGAAAAACTAGAATTGTGATACACTTAAATACATAAAGCAATATTTGCGGATTTTTTTTTTAATTGGGCTTGGAATCCTATAATTTTTAGAGCTTTAAAACGACGTGTCGTTTCTCCTTGAATTCAGAAATACATAAATTATACTAACTTTGTCAAATGCACGTAAAACCAATGATAAAAAACGCAAAAATAAATATATCAGAATTTTTCTTCTTTTTCCTACATATCTCATTCTCTGATGAACCTTTAACGAAAGTTAAATTGATAACCGTTCTTTATCCTGTGAGTTGTTAATATTTATAATGAAAATAATGGAAATGCAAATTTCATTTATTTATGTTATTTCGATGTCCTCCAAGATATTTACTTAATTATTCCCTTAACAATAGGGCATAAATCATTAAATCGAACCTTTTTTATTAAGCAAATGTACAAGTAAAATGGAAATGGAAATTCCAAAATTCAATATGCAAAATTCGTCTATGCTTTGAATATTGCTGCCACATGCTATATATTTAGAGATTCTTCATAAAATCCAAAGAAACTGTAATATTATTGGTCCTGACCTGGCATCTCGGCTTCAGTTCCTTTCCCACCGCCGTAACGTAGCTTCTCTGCGCCTTTTCTATAAATACATTCACGATTCTGATGAACTTTCCGCTATAGTACGTAGACTTTATTGATTTAAAAGTAGTACTAGATTGGCGGTCAGGTCTCATCAATTTAGTTGAAATGGCTAGTTGTAACCGTAATTTCTATACTAACATTTTCTTCCATTGCACTTCTCGCTTGTGGAACTCTCTTTCGGTTTCTTGCTTCTTAGTCAACTTTGATCTTCAAAAGTTTAAATGCAATGTCAATCGTTACCTTCTGTCTTCTTAATTCTTACTCTTTTATGGTCCTCTATCGTGTAATCTTAATATGTGTGCATATCTATATATTATAGGACAACACTAAGATATATTTATTTGTGAGTAACCTGATCGCATTTCATGTTTCTATCATAATGTATAAATGGACGAAATTTCATTGCGTTTCTTTGACCTGACTCATATTTTATGTACAACTATTATACTAACATATTAGAATACAATTAAAAGGTTTATTCTAAAATTGGAGAATATTTTCTGAATAACCTAATATTGTAAATTGTTGTTATCGCACACATAACAGATATCTCCACATGACCAATGTCTCAACTGAGAAAAATTAAAACAAGTCATTTTAATACTACTTTAATATATTAATTTTATATTATGTGGGAAAAATGTATATAATTTATATTTATTCCATTCATTTTTATGGGAAATGATTTCAAATTATTAAAGACGCTGTGCGTCATACAACATTTCAGTATATTTAAGAGAGACTGTGTCACTTTTCTCTAGGAATGATCATCGGTTAAAAAGTAGAGAGAGCAGTATTAGAAAAATTATTATTAAATTCGTGTAATTTATACGGGTCTTTTTAGTTATTATTATTATTATTATTATTGTTGTTGTTGTTTTCGATTTCAACCGAAGATATTGCATTATAAGTTTCTCCATCAAGTCATATGACCTAAAACTGATATCGCCTTTCGCAGAATAAATATTCTGCGAAAGGCGGAAATTTCTGAAGCGATTGGGTTACTTAGTTGTTTTTCGATTTTCTTAATATAAGACATTAGGTTCGAAATATATACCCCAACATCCAGTGATAATTCGGACAATAGTGGTCTAGATGTCTTACATTCTGGCAACCTCAGTTTGAAGGTCAGTCTATAGCTTGTCATTTAAGTTTAGTGGCTTCAAGGATGCGGTGTGTTTGGATGGTGAAATCTCACAAGATCTTGACTTGGTCGTTTTTGTTTTCTCTGACACAGTTCTCATCGACATGAAGTCCATACTTTCTACGTAGAAATCAATGTAGATGAGAAACCACTTTATCATGGTAACGCTTGTATTCTGCGCAAGCAATCCACAATCGCAAATTATGTGGGTGGCATTATTCCACCTCGATGTCACACAGCTTACACTTCTCTAAATCCACTAAGGTAGATATTCTTCCGGACAGGATTAATATTAAGGGATTCATCTTTAGCGGCAGTAGGCTTTCATTTTCGCATTTCAATTCGCCTTTCATCATCCAATCTCACGAATCTTTTATCCTTGGTATCCCCTACAAGATGTACATGGAGCGACATTGCCTCTTTTGCTTTTAGTTTCTCTTTTAGTTTCTCTTTTAGTACCTTTTTACTGTATTCTTCTTTCTCTTTTACAAAGTTTTTAGATTTAACAACATTCATTAGGGCTGTTTCTTCGCAGGATCACTCTTCAATGCCAGTCACTTCTCTACCTAATTCTTTTCGCAGTGTGTATGATCTTATCACATTTGACTCATGGTGTAGGGTGCCATTTTCAAAAGAGAAAAAGAACTACGTTTGGGTTTTCTTGTTTAAAATTTGTCTTTTCTCCACTGAACCACTACTCCACTACTTGATCTCAGCAGCTTTCTTGTTCTATCTCTAACTGAGACGAACACAAAAATTTGCAGAAAAATCAGGACACAAAATACCTTTAAGGAATATATTCATACAAATGGGTAACTGAAGCCGTAACACTAAAACTGATGAACAGTCAACAGTATAATACTATTTGTTGTTTTTAATATCAAAAAATATTTCAAAAGTAGGAAAATTTGCCACTTAAAGTCAGATCTGATAACCCTGCACCACGCTACAATTATAGAGCAAAACGTTTTAAAAGTTGTGATAAATAATGGACCCTCCTTTAGAAAATATTTGTGAAAATTCAAATAACCTGAGTATTCATGCAGGTATTAATTTTAATTATTGAAATTGAGGTTTGTGAAACTGGGTTTTATATTTCCCTTTATTTATTTAGGCACGTATTCAAAGTTTCAGTCATGGAACTGTTCCCCGATTAAAATTATTTCTAATGACAACCAATATTGAAACTTTATGAAGTATATAGTACTTCTTTGTATATGATATCTGACACTGATATGTTGCAACGTTCAAGTTAATGGACGAGTTAAAAACATCAGTAATCTTTCATTACACACATAAAGTTTGCTTTCAAAGTTTCCTGATAACTTCCTTCGGATATCTACGGTAGCACGATGGTTAACAAGTTCGTCTGAAAGTTCATTGATTTGTTTAGTGAGTTCTAAACTTACTCTAATAGCCAGAGAATTCATTACTGCCTTGTAAGTGTGAGAGTTGAGCATATTCCCATATTCCGATTCCACTATATTCAAATGCAGATTTTCAAGTTTGCATAACTTCGGACACTGGCACAATGCAAAAGAATTCTGTTTTCCCTAATTTTGCTTTGTGCTCTACACAACTTATTTATTCTGCTTCTCTGAAATGAAAATTACTTTTCTTAATGTTTTGTCTTTTTTTTTCTTTTTTTGATTTGTGTGAGTATATGTGAGCATGCGTGCACACGTATACATTTCTGTTGTTATTCATAAGATAGACTAACCAATAAATGCATGTCTGTATGCTTGTGGGTGTATTTGTACAAGAAAAAGAAGTGACAATGTACTTACACCTTCTAGAAGTCCCGGTATAGGCTTGTAGAAGAATTAGCAAAATACTCAAAAGTGTAATTATCTTCATCATTAATGACTGAAAAGGAAAAAAAAACAATTTCTCGTGCATTTTCCAACAATAATAAAAAGCATATATACACAAAGTAATAAATAACAAATACTTTTACGCAATTTTATGTGTATGGATAATTTTAGTTTACATTGTTCCTCTGTTCCGAAATGGAATTATTTTTATTTTAATATTGTTATTATTTTTCTTTATATGATTTATTATTATCACAAGTATCATTTATATCATTCTTGTTTTCAATATTAATTAAAAAGTTATCTAAAGTTATCTACATTAATAGACAATTTTAGGCAAATTAATAACAAAATGGAAAAACATTTTAATTTTGAGTTTAAAATTTCAGCGTTTCTAACATTTTCAGCATTTCCTGTTTGTGCATAATTTTAACAAACGTTTGATTTCTTATATTCCCCCCTTCCCTACCCTACACATATATAATTCCATCAATAAAAATATTATTTTAGTCTGATGACATCCTAAAGAACGAAACGTGCCAGACATTTCTTTTTGCACTTTGTCATTAATTTGTCTAACTTTCAGTTTTAAATCTCATAAAGATTTAATACTAGGCATAGACGTAGAAATTGGTAGAAAATATCACTCCATTGATAAATATACCGTTATAAATTCTCTTCTTCCATTTGAGAATTATTATTTACTGAATAAACAATTTTTTGAAGAACTTTGTCGAGTATTTTAGCAACTTATATTGTGTGTATTCCGTACAGAATTTTTTTGTGTCGAGTTTCGATTCACGTGGAGACTGAGCTGCTGGTACAAAAAGGCTCTTTCTTTCAAGTTCACATATACATTTCGCTGACATGTATTTGATCTTGCCTGGTTCAATTTTTTTATCAAATTCACTCCAAATAAAGCAGTAAAGCCACCGAGACACAAGGGGCTACTAGGTGTGAAATAATTATAATAAAATAACAGAAAATATTATGAAGGAGCAGGAGCAATAGAGAGTAATCAGAAAGATAGTAGATAACGATTGACATTGCATTTAAATTTTTGAACATCAAAGTTGGCCAGAAAGCATGAAGCCGGAAGCGAGAAGTGTAAGAAAAGAAAATGTTAGCATAGAATTTATGGTTACATTCTAAGCCAATTCAACTGTAAATTGATGTTCCCAATCTAGTACTGTGCTTAATGAAGGTCCTTAATGAAAATTGAAATGAGATCAATGATATGGATACCTACATTAGTACAGAGGGATCTAGAAGAGTAGCCGCTCATTTCACACATTGATAACAAAGTCAAATCAGATAAAAAATTCGCCCGGAGATACTGTAACTTTTCAACTTGTGGAGAAGACCAACATGCCAAACCTAGTAGAACGCTTTCGTGTATGAGATTCACCTTTCTTTTCTAAAGCTTGATGAACTCTTTCCGAATTAATCGTTAATACATCAGCGGCTGACATAGAGAAACGAAAGCAAAATTGTTTGTCGGAAAGAAGGTCCCGCGTTGTAAGATGCTCAACTAATTCAACATTGATTAGGGTCTCTAGTAGTTTCCGAAAAGAGGTAGAAGGCTAATACCTTGATAGCTGGAAGCGTTGAACGGCTCACATGAGTTCTTAAAAACTGGAATAACAGATAAGGAATTGCAACAAGCAGGAAAGAAAGAGGTAGTTAGCCATAAATTATACTTTAGAGAGAACAGGTGCAAGTACTGGAACACATTTCTTAAGGTCTATTACAGTGATGCCATCAGACCCACAATACATTGTGGGGCACCAAATTAGAGATGATAGCAGAAACCATAGAAGGAATTATATGCATATCATTCAACAGGGCTTCATTTCTAAGTGGGAAGTTAAGCAAGGATACTCCAGATGAGTCAGGAGTAGAATTTAAGGAGAAATTACGGGCGAAACATCATTAGAAGATGTTAATTGTTTGAAGAGGAGAGGAATAGAAAGTTTACATTCATAATACCCTATTACATTCGGTAATCACGAGAGCCAAAGTTGTTAGATGAAATATGGTGCCTCATTCTCTTAGCAAACATTATTAGCTCCTTCGAGGACATGCTTGCATGTATTACTTGAAATCACAAATATACCTCTAATGTGATGGGAACTGTCAGGCTGGTATAGTCGGAAATAAATGGTTCCTCTGGTCTATAGCAGCAGAGAATGTTGCTGTGGATAATGGAGAAGATTGAGGTTTTACCTGGTATTTCCGAGAGGGAATGACAGTATGACCCAAAAGGAAACATCAGTGACGCAATGCTAAATATGAAGGTTAAAATGTCAGTTCAGGGGACGTCTCGAAGAAAGTCATGGAGTGAATCACAATCAGCATGCTGGTTACGGAAATGTGTCTTTATGATTTACCAATTTATCAGCGCCTTAGCCACCAAAAAACCCCAAGGTTCCACAGTCGGCGGAGTTGGTATATTTCTCTCTTCTAAAGCCTCGGGAAACTTACTATGTGTTGAAAAATATTTGATCGCATAATTGTTGCTGAATTTAACTGTAACTCTCAAGCCACGTTCATTGCTTGTTACTGCACAACTAACACAAGTGACTAAAAACTAGTAGACAACTTTTACTCCGGTCTAAAGATATAAACAGAACGTGTCCGCACCCACAACTTGCTTGATAGCTCAGGCAATTTCAATGGTCAAATAGGGAAGGATTTTGCACTATTCACGTATAATAAAGAAACTAACCGAAACGAGAAAACACTTAGAGACTTTGCTCACGAGTTCCAACTCCAAATTACAAATACGAGGTGAAGCACCTAAACTGTCCGTGGACATTCCAACTTCCATTCGGACCTCGATCACAAATTGATTACATACAAGTGAAATAAGTGAAAGAACAGTGTTCGTAAAGCCCTGATATATTCGTCCTTCTCTTCTGTCGATTCTGGTCATAGAATTGTTTTCATACATGTCATTTTTAGCCTAAGGCCATCCAAACTTCCAGTACCAGACCTCATGAAACAAATCGATTGGGCCAGGGTACCCTCAAATAGAACTTTGTGACACTCTTTTACTTTAGATGTTAAGAATCATTGCGAAATGGTCAATCTGATGACATTGAAACACGATACAACAACTATATACATCTACAGTAGAAATCACACTCTCAAAACTGCCAAAGAGGGAAAAGTTACAGCCCTACCACTTCAGTGGTTGGGCTGTAACTGTGGGTGGGCTGTAATGTGTGAAAGGCAAAAAAAAAAAGATCTGAAAAGAGTGAAACCGAAATACGAACAGAAGCTAATTAGAATTACTTTTAAAGATACCACTAAAGCATAGGGGTTATTAGATGAGGCCCATGACAATGTAGATGCAGAATATCCCCAAGAGGAGATTGACAAGTTTGTAAGAGTGCATACGTGGAAACAACATGCTGCAGCCTGGAAAAGAATAAACACACTCTCAGGAAGAAAGCCTTCCATTTGGTACAAAGGAGGTTCCGTTCAAAAGCGTAAAGCTAAATGGTTTGACTACTTTAAGAAACTTCTGGGAGAACCACAGCAAATCAATGGTCTTCAACTCCCTCTCCATCAAATATCCAATACATAAACACCAACCCATTCGCGCTCAAAACAACACCAACTCATTGAACTCAAAACAACACTCAAAGATTTTGTCAACAACAAATCTCCAGGTCTTGACAACATACCAACATTATTGTGGAAATATTCAACATTTCATGACCTCCTCCTAGAGTTTTGCAACAACACCTTCATACGCCATTCACCGCCTTCAGCTTGGCTGAAGAGTGGAATAGTCTCTGTTCCAAAAAAAAAATGCGATTTAACAAGTGCGGCAAACTATATAGTTTATATATATTTATATATAAATTCTCATACTAATTGTATCAAAATTTTATAATAAGCTTCTGTTAAATAGGATTGTCCCTACCATCGATCCACTCCTCCACAAGAACCAGAATGGATTTAGAAGAGGCAGGTCGGCAACTACTCAAATCCTCTCCATTCTCCGCAAACCAGAAGAGATGAAAAAATTCAACAAAAAGGTCACAATCTGTTTTGTTGATTTTTGCAAGGCGTTTGATTCCATCAGCAAAGATCTAATGTTCAAAATACTCCAATCTATGGTATACCCTCCACAATTGTTGAGACAATTACAACTCTTTACGGAGATACTACAACCACCATTGCATCGCCTGATGCAATGGTGGCAGTAGTGTCCTTTGAAGTTAAAGCAGGAGTTCTACAAGGCGGCATACTTGCTCCTTTTCTGTTTATAGTTGTTCTGCACTATGTTTTGCATATTTCTCACGAATACATTGAGGAAAAAAACACTCCTTTTGAAACCTCGCCAGAGAAGTCGATACCCACCACACACAATATCTTACTGATCTTGACTTTGCCAATGATCTTGCATAAATTTCTCAATGCATCAAGGACGTAGAATCTTTGCTACAACCACTCGAGCAAGCAGTGAATCATGTAGGTCTCTAGTGCAAATAAAGTAAAACGGAATACATTACAACTTTCCTCTGAACCATCCGAATTAAAATCACTCAATAATACATCCTTCAAATATCTTGGATTTCAAATCATAGATTACCAAAAAAGACTTCAGCATCCGCAAAGCTCTTGCATAGGATGCGTATAAAAAACTTGACAAGATTTGGCGCTCGAATCTTCCATCTTCCTCAAAATTCCAAACTTTTCGAACACTGATTGAACCATTTCTACTGTATGGAAACTTGAACATTATCTTTTCGTCTTGAAAGTCGGCTGGATGGAGAAAAATCCAGAACATCAGTTGGAGATCCCATACAGCACTTAACACAATCTACTTAAGCTCAAGCAAAATCGATTACAGTTTGCCGACTACTGCCACTTCCCTATCCACCGAGCGGACAGGGAAGTCATCTCATCCTTCTTCCTATGGCATTCTTCTGGAAGTGTCTTCTCACGAAAATTTCTTTCGAAGACACCATAGCTCAGGACTCAGGGTTGGATATTGTGGATATGGGGACAACATACAGGACCGTAGAGTGTGGAAAG